GCAAGCTGTTTCTTTCCAGCGTGCTCTAGCTCCTTCTTAACTCTACTGTCTTTTATGCCATATATCCCCTTGTCTTCTTCTTCATTGTCTATTTATTCTTTGTGATTGGTAAGAAACTTTTGAGATCAACCCTCTATCTAATGTATGTTTTCCCCCAAAGCATCCTCAAAAATTTGGCCAACTAGCCTCTGCTTTGAACATTTTCCCCTTACGTAGTAGTGCCCGTCATTCTGTCAGTCAAGCCCTTAACCAACCACAAACATTCACGCATACATGTATCTACTCGTTAATTGAAGTATTTAAATACTTGTTGAGCATTTATGATTTCCCAATCTTTATTCTAAACTGTGGATATGCAATAGGAATAAGACAGTCACTGTTCTTATGGAACCTACAGTCCAGAGGCAGAGACCAATAAACAGATAAATCAATTTTTAGGTCAGGATAAGTACATTGAGAAAAAAAAGTACGGCAAAGAGAGAGTGGAAGACGGGCCACACTGGCTTACAACACTACATCTGATTCAGATGTATAGGGTCACACCTCTTCAGACCTATGTTACCACACACACCCCCACCAAGGCAACGATTATCCTCCAGCATAGTCCATTTGATCTCCTTCCCCACTTTTCTCCCCAGCCCCTGTAGCCTCAATTCTATAGTTATATTTCTAGGATTTGTTTTGTCTTTTCCTTGGTCTGGTTTCTCTATATTCCACATATGAATGAAATCTTCCAGTCTTCTAATCTTTGTCCTTCTTCAGGCTAATTTTGCTTAGCATAATGGCCTCCAGTTCCACTCATGTTGTTGCAAATGGCCATATTTCATCTTTTTTTTATATATTTGTGTGGTGTCCCACTGTGTGTACATATCAAATATTCTTAATCCACTCATCTATCTCTGGACACTTGAAAGATGGGCCTATTTTGGACCTTAGTGAAATGAGAGAGCAAAGTTTTCAGAAGACTGGAGAATAATGATCCAGGCAAGTCAATTGGTCCTGAGACAAAAAACTAACCATCTTAGCACATGCCAAACAACAGTTGTTCTTCTAATGCACACCATCATCACTTGGGAGCAGCTCAGAAATCCAGAAGTGCACCTCCGCAAGACTTGGATCCAAATTTCCAGAGATCAGAGCTAAGAATGCCTGACTTTTCAAAAGTATCCATCAAATGTTCAGCCAGGTTTGAGAACCACTGCACTAGTGATCCAGCTCTGAACAGAGCAAACATTTTCACAATTATGGAACTATGTGACTAAGCTTTTAATGCTACACACTTATGTATGCGGATACTCATTTAAAACTCATTTCTCTGTAACTTCCTGTCCTCTATGTTTACATCCTCTGGGACTACAAAGAAGTTCAATCACAGTTGCATGTTCTCAGTCTTTCAGATATTTTTGGAAAATTCTTGTTCTTATGAGTTCCCTTGATCCTCTTGTAGGAGAGGTTTCAGACCCCTTATCATCCCAGTTACTCAGCTTTCAATGTGCATCAAGTGCTCATACTCCTTTTTAAAAAAGTACAGGACCCCAAATTAGCATAGCACACCCTCATGGTCCTGGAGGCAGCCTCTCCTCATCTCCCGGTTGCACATTCCCTCCTCTATCTCACACAGTAGGTCAGCAAATTCCCATGAAGGTTTTTCTTTTTAATACACACTACAATCTACTTTGATTCTTCTCCTTATTTTCTTTATATCTTATGTACTTGCCTTTTATGTTGTTCAGTTCTCTTTCACTGGCTTCCCCTTGGGACCTAACATCTCTGCAAAATGCATAGTTTAATGGTTAGATGCATCTGTTGTCTTATAAAGCCCCTCCCATTGATTCAGCCTCTCCTCTTTTGTTTCCCTGCACTATGCACGTCAACATCTTCTATTGATTTCCAAATAATAATATTCAGAAAAATGTTGATTGACCCAATTAACTGGAACACTCAATCAGTGGCATTCCACTTTCAGAATAAAAAGAGAAACTTTAAATAAATGAGCCAATAACTGAGAGTTTAATTAAGAAGAATTTTCAAGGTGGGTTTCAGGGTCAGTTTACATTAGCTGTACTCTGAAAACATCTGCAAGATCCCTGATCCTTAATGTTATACAGGTTGCAATTTTCAAAACAAATCTTTTCTTTATCATGATATTGAATACTTACTAAAGCAGGCAGGCCCTTTTCTCATGTTTATGGATCCAGGAGCAAAAGTGCAAATGCAGACCCATGACTCTTAAAAAACTAATAATAACTTCTAACTCACAAAATTGTTTGAACATGGTTTGGAAACCAAATTTAAATTAAGATTCTTGGGCATCTCAGAGTTCTGTGCCAGCATGTGTCAGAAGATAAATCCTGGATCCTGGTATACAGCTCATCCTTTTTATCTCTCCACACTTAGCTTTTTCTTCATAGCACAAGCAGCATTGTGAACACAAGTGTGTGTGGTGGGTATGTGCCCAAGCTCCATACATATTCCCCAAAAAGAAATACTGCACACGCCTCTGACATGACCCACTTCCAAGGAATGAACTGGGAAAGAAGGCCAGGCAGAGGCTGGAAGAAGAAAAGGATCTACTTGGGCAGGGGGATGGGGGTCCTCTATCCCTATATCATGGTCTAGAATGTTGTTGAGTAAATCCTGGCTGTGTGAGACATGGCCCATGGGTCCTATAGATACCTCATATCAGGAGGAGAATGGCCAGATCAGAGTCAAATGGAGTATATCAGTATATCAGATAATCCAAATTAGTTAATCTAGCCTGATTCTATGCATAGGATAGTACTGAAAGAAACGTAAGACTATGTTTTAAAAGGCTTTTCCTTACAAACATTAAGTCAAATAGGTCCCTAGTTAATGCCAGTTTGACCCAACATTTATTTATACATAATTTCTAATGTCTTTTTTAAAAAGTATGTCATATTCCCATACAGTAGCTTCCTAAGAGACTCAATTCTGTAAGACAACAAAAAACTTCATAAGCCTACGTAATGTAAAATGAAATAATCTTTCAAAATTATGTGCCATCCTAAATCACAATGATGCAATGCCTTCTCTCTCCCTTGAAGACTCAGTAATTTTAGATATGTTACTTTCCCATCTGGTAAATGAGATGGCAATGTTTGGGCAATCTCCAAGTTCTAATTTCAGTGTTGCCTCTGCCATGCTTATGTATTCCCTGTTCTAGAACCATCCAGAAAAATTCATTGGCATTTCAAGCTTATTGATGGCTGAAAATTTTAGTTGAGACCAAAAAATTCAAATTAGGAAACAACAAAATTGTAGCACTTCTTGAAAAATATGAAACTGAATCAGGTTTGCTAAGCATTCAGAGGAAATAGCATGTTTATCCTATACAATTCAATTGATCAATTTTTTTTTCTTTAAAGATGTGTATATTTATGTATACAAGAGCTGGGGTACAGGCTAGAGGTGTGGGGAGGGGGTGAGAGGATTCACCCGAGACAGAGTAGAGTACAGAACAGGCAGACTGACTGAAACACACTGCTGAGAGGAGCAACAGGCAAGACAGGAGAGGTCTACCGCACCATGTGGGCAGATCCCTGGCTAGCCAGGGATTGAATTTGTGCTACAGAGTTTGTTGGTAGCTTCATAGTGCTGTGCCTAACCTCTTGCACCGCCAGGGATGCCTTCAATTGGTCAACTTTATTTTTTAAGATTTATTTATTTATGCATACAAGAGCTGGGGTACAGGCCAGAGATGCGGGGAATGGGGGGTGAGAGGATTCACCAGAGACAGAGTGAGGAACAGAACAGGCAGATGGACCAAAATACACTGCTGAGGGGAGCAGTGAGCAAGTCAGGAGAGGTCTGCTGTGCCATGTGGGTTGCTTCCTGGACAGCTAGGGATCGAACTGTTGCTACAGAGGCTGCAGATTGCTTCATAGTATGGTGTTCAACCCTTTGCACCACCAGGGAGGCCCCTCAATTGGTCAATTTTTAATAATCACTTCATGTCAGTCACATTGGAAGGTGCTGGACAGAAAATATGGAAGATAGGTATCTGGTATTTTAGGTAGTGACCCTTTCCTGAGGATGTTTGGAGACAGATAATGCTGAAACCTATTATAATATGATGTGATGTAGATTCTAATGTAAAAGTTAAGAAAGTGTTATGAATATTTTAGAAGAGGGAATTTTTCTCTGGTTACCCACAATGAACATGACATTGAAGCTTCTTCTAGAAAACTAAATAGGAGTGCACAAAGTGGAAAATAAAGGAATGGCTATTCTAGGCAGAAGAGACAAGAGACTTGGAAGTAGACTGTGTTCCAGAAACAGTATGCATTTTCAGTAAAGTAGAAGATAATATGGCAATAGTAGTAGACAATGGCACATATTAAGCGAACACTATAGAACAGAATATATACCTACCACTTTACATAGGTTGTTTTGATTAAGAAATATAGAGGGGTGATATCAGCAAGATGATTTTCCTGCAGAAACACCAATTTAATGGCAGATGGAGTAAAATACCTTTATAAAATTGCAGAATCCAGTTAAGAAGTTTCAAGGGCCTCCCCAGTGGTGCAGCGGTTGAGCGCTGGACTGCAAAGCTGCCTCTGCAGCCTCTGCAGCGCCAGTTCAGTCCCTGACCACCGATGATGGTCCCACATGGCACGCAGACCTCTCCTGCCATGCCCACTGCTCCCCTCAGCAGTGTACTTCATCTGTCTGCCTGTTCTGTTCCCCGCTCTGGTTCTGGTGAATTCTCTCACCCTCCTGTGCTTCTGACTATACCCAGTGCTTGTATAGATAAATAAATAAATTTTTTAAAAAAAGAAGTTTTGATACTACAGGTGAAAAGAAAGCCAATAATAACAGTTGCATTAAGGCAGGTTAGAAGAGAAATTTACTTTACCCACCCTTGTCCCAAGCTAACAGCTTAATATTAGGAGAGGTCACCACCTATAACTTCTCCCATGGGGACATGAGAAAAGTGAAATATGCATCCAATGTTCTGGCTTTTCAGAGGACGACATGTGGGTTCCTATCTTGCGCCACCTGGAAAAGAGAATGGGCATAGTTTGGATGCCTCAAAGTCACTGAGAATATTCTACCAATAACAACAAAATATACATTCTTCTCAAGAACACAATTCAAAAGAATTGAAATCAAGTTCCCCAAGAGATATCCATAGCTTCATGTTCATTGAAGCAGTATTCATAATAGTGAAGCGATATAAACAACCTAAGTGTTCACTGACATATGAATGGATAACAAAAATGTGATACATTCGTATAATGGAATATTATTCAACCATTGTAAAAGAAAGAGCTCCTGTCATATGCTATCATGTAGTTGAATCTTGAAGACAATATGTTAGGTAAAATAAGCCAGCCACGGAAGGACAAATACTGTATGTCCCCACTTACATGAAGTATCTAATGTGGTTAAATCCATAGAAACAGAAAGTACAATGGTGATTGACAGGAACTGGGGGAGGGGCAGGTGGGAAGTTGCTGTCCAATGAGTACAGACTTTCAGTCATACAAGATAAAAATATTCTGGAGATAGGCTGTGCAGTGATAAAACAATGTGCTGTACTTAATAGCACTATTATACACCTAAAAAAAAAATCTTGAAGGTAAATCTGATTTTATGTGTATTTACCACTATGCTTTTTTTAAAGACTTGAAATCACCCTCAAATATGTATCTATCTCTAATTTTGCAGATGAGAATCCTGAAGTTTAGCTCAAATCTTTATCAGGTCTAGCAGGTGATGAAGTTGTGATCTAAACCCAGTTAGACTCCAGGGTGATTTGTACGACTATGCTACTTTCTCCTCTTTCTCTTAAATGAGTTTTAAAAAGTATGTTATAAAGTATCTCATATACTCATATGCCTTGTTAAGGAGTTGGCATTTTTCAAAAATCATTGACTCTCCAGATTGAAAAAAACTTGAGAGAGAGAGGAAAGAGGAAAAAGGAGGGTAAGAAAAAGAGAAGAAGAGAGATTTCCATGCATAAATTGAAATACAGTGTGCTATACATGATATATATGAAAGGCAGGCAGTTTTCTTTTTCAGACAAAGATGATTGTAGCTCAGCTAATTTTTCAATGCTGTATTTGACCACTACAGAAAATCCACCCACTTCAATCTATTATTAGTCTATCTTTTGTAAACTAGAGTTTCTGTAGAAATTGAGAGGTTAGGGAAAAAATAGCAAAACTTATTTTGTAGCATTTTCAGGCATAGGAAGGAAAGATGTAAACCAAGGAAATACTACTCACATTTTAAGCATCTCATTCACTCATTTACAAATAGTGCACCCCATATATCCATACACATGTGAATACACCCAAGCCAAAATACCCCTATAGAAGTCACACTCACACATACACACACACACACACACACACACCCCTCACAATCATACCCCATCTGAAACAGCACTCTAGGATTAGAGTGCAAAAACGGTGTTGGCCACAAAACTCTAACCTATGATAATGTAATAAGACAGTTATATCCTTCTTTCTCAGCTCATCTGGTCCAGCTATTTTAACTATATGTATTTTAACTATATGTATTTTAATTATATGAGTCTAGTAAGCACAATAAAGGTCACCTGAAACATTTTCCCTCAGGGCTAAACAAACCCAGGTGTATAGAAATAGGATTCTCAATGGATCATGTTGGCATTTAATTTCTAGATTCAGGAAGCTAAATTTAGAATATCCTATTGAAAACCCAGCATCCAGCAGGACAGTTGAAAGGGGGTTTTGGGTGGGAAAATAAAAATTTTTAAGTGCTGTTTGGTCCATCATCTAGGAAGTAGGGCAGCATCACTTCTTTTAGAGACGATAATTCACCTCTCCTCACCTATCCCTGGAGACAGTATAGATCATGTTAGATTAGGAGATTAAATGAGATAATGCATCTAAGAAGTTTAACACAATGGTTGACTTGTAGAAGGTACTAAATCAATGGAAGATTGTATCTAATTTGGTCAAATTTAACTCATTAAAAGCTACTTTTGAAGCAGTTAAGTGTCCCACCTCATCATTTTGAACTACAGGTACCATGAAAGTGAGGATGAAATGGATCCTTTTGGGTCTTGTTCTTAACCTAAAAATAAAGCCATCTGGGGATTTGCGGGAAGCCAAGCAGCTGCTGAGAACAGCAGTTCATCATGGCCTGGCCAAAGCCACAGTAAGGGACAGAGTAATTGAGCTGACTGTAGGGCCAGTTCCTGGGCCTTTCATCACAGCCTTGCCAGTAGGAGACTGATGTAGGTAGGAGTCTTAGCCAGAGACAAAATAAAAAGCCCTCCCCCCACCTCAATACTTAACAGACTATCCTAAGAGGTTATCATGATCTCTCAAAGTGTTACTTGAATGATTAAATCTGGATTTGTTTTCCTGAAGAAACATGTAATGTCCTCCCAGATAACATCATTCATTTCTCAGCTTCAGGACAAATCTTGATTTCAGTTGCTTTTTTGTTTGTTTTCACCACAGCTAGGGAGAATAATCCCTAACCTTTGCATTGCCTGGAATACTTGATCTTATCCAAGACATATGCTAGTAATCTCCCTACATAAGAATTCACCAATAGACCTGGGGTCTTAATGGCATTCAAAGCATAAAACCACTTCTTTGTCCCCTGCTAAGAGTCAGTGACCACTGACCTGAACTATCAGAGAGGCGGAGAGGTCAGCAGATAAAAATGTGCAGCTGAACCCTCCGTTGCCCATAGCCACAGCATTGGCCCTGGGCTCTACATGGCTTCAGGCAGCTCTCACTGAACAGCACTTGCATTTTGAAGACTACATCAATTTGGAACAGGAGGTGCTTTTAGGAAATAATAATATATAATTAAAATCTCTCTGATGAACAGAGATAATTTTTATATTCAGGGAAGCTGCCGAAGCAGCAGATTTTTAGTCATTAGCATATTTGCAAGGTTAATGTACTGTACTTAATAAAGTAAATAAAGTGTTTTATAATTTTTCAGGCAAGTTGTAAAAAGGGAAAAGTGAAGAAAATTCCTTTCCATTTTGAATATCTGGCAGACATCAGATTAACCCTTCTTACAACCAAGGTGTTATTCTTGTTTAGAGCATGCTTTCAGATATGTATTTGTTATGAGGAACTTGATAAAGAGGCCAGTTATCTTTAAAGAGTGTTTGGTGCAATGAGGAGAAATGAAATAAATGGGTAAGAGAATATGAAAAAAAAAATAGTGACCTTTTGGGATGGTGGTGTATAGTTCTTCAGGATAGGAAATAAGTAAATGGGAAATATCAGGAAGGGAGAGTAAGTAATACTTTGGGAGCTACTACTGGAAAACTGACAAGGAAGGAAGGACTGAGATACTGATTTTGTTGCTACAAAGGGTCTTTGATCCCTGTTGGAGCATTTTACCAAAGAAGTCAGCAACAATATATGAGCAAAGGCACCTAATAAACAGTCAACTAAGGTTGGAGAACCAAAGGGTTGGTGGCAAATTAGAAGTATGAAAACAATTGTTCAGGGCTTGGCCAAGTTGTTGAGGTTTTTTTTTTTTTTTTAATGTCCTGGTTCGGTTGTCATCTAAACATTTTATTTTTACCTCAAGTTTCCTAACCTAGGAAATATATGAAACCATCCAGTAAGTTACTGTGTGTCTTGGGATGTAATCATCTGCAAGCCTCAGGCAAGTTTCAGGAAATCATTAGCGGAGGCCCTTGTTCCTATTTTGGTGTTTTGCAAAACTATGAGTCTCTTCCTTGACTTTTTAATAATATACGTATTAGGGATCTCATTCATAGAAACATCAAGTAACCCTTTATAAGGAGAATATTTCCACTTCTTTTCTATGCCACTAGTTTCTATCCTTATCTTCCCCAGTCTTCCAAAAATAACAAGGCATGCATGCAATTTGTATAATGCTCTGAGGATGGACAGAAGGAGTTGGATGTGCTTTCTTACCTTGAGAAAGTGACTTAAAATCTCACAACTCTAGTTTCTCTTCTGCCATATGAAAATGGTATCTATTTCATCAGATTATTGTCATGAGAAACAAATGAAATTTGATTCATCTATTTCCTCATATCCTAGAACTAATTGCAAGTTCCCTCTATCAATTAAAATGCCTGGACAGTGGGGGCGGAGCAACATGGCGGCGAGGAGACGCTGCGAGTAAGATCTCCCATTAAAAAAAGTTAATAGGGAGGAAAAGCGGCAGGTCCCAGTGAGAACTGGGACACGGAAGATAAACGGACGACTCCAGCAAACTGCCCGAAGAAGAAAGTTGCCATAAAAGAGGACGAGAAGGGAGGGAAGCGCAGAACCCTGCTCCCCTCCCCCGCCCACAAAGTCAGCACTCTCCGACCGGCAGAGAGGAGGAAACAACAAACCAAAACGGCCAACAAGAAAAACGGACACAGCAAGCGGGACTGTGAGTGGAAAGGAACTATTGCAGCCACCACACCCCGTGAACGGGAGCTGAGGCGAACCCTGCAGGATCCGCAGCGGAGGTGAGCTCCAGGCGCCATTAAAGAGAGCCCCGCCCCCCAGGAGGAGACCAGCACCAGCACACAGCCCCGGCCGCCCGGCTGCTTGAAACTGACAGATGACTCCTGGAAGAACCAGAGTGGAACAGAGAAGCCCACCCAAGATGCCGGCCAGTCCCAACAACACAGTGTCCCAACGCATACGGCAAATTAGAAAACAGACAGTAGGGAGGAGAAGAACCACACGCAACCTAGCAACTCTCCAGAGAAAAAGCACACCACAAAAAGAAAGCCAGCCCCCAGATTGCAAAGACAATAACTTGGAAGAATTTCTGAGCCTTCCAGAAAGAGAATTTAAAATTGCCGTGATTAAAAAACTGACAGAAGTCATAAAGGAAAACAATGATAAGGGAAAAATAATCAACGATCAGAAGAATGCAATTGAGTCCCTAGAGAGGGAAAACAATGGTCAGAAGAAAGAAATTGAGTCCCTAAAGAGGGAAGTAAAAGAAATGCAGGAGATCAAAGAATTAATGGAAGAACTAAAGAATTCTGGGAAAAGCAA